TAAGATTTCGGCATAGAAAGGCAAGAAAAGAGTTAAAAAATTGATAGAACCTAGCAAAAAAGAAAACTGGAAGGAACAAATGGAAAAAGTGTGAAGAGTTAGAAGACGATGTATGGGATAAAACTTACTAGATTATCATCACACGGCTAAAGATCAGAAATAGAACGACTATAGCTAGTGAAATGTCGAAGGTCAAATCATGCACCAGTCACTCGTATTAATGAAGTTGGGAACATACGTTTAATTCTGGATACTGTCACTTATGGCGTTGCTTTCGATTACAGAACCCATTTTGGCAATTTTTTGAATTATCGTTATCAGTTTGACTGGTTTGACATAGTAATATTTTTATTGCGTTGTATTGTGTACAGTGGAATAAAGTCCCTAGATTTACAAAGTACCGCGGTTCATGACGCCTGTTTTCGAGCCAAAATGGCGGTTTGACAACTTGTCATTGCATCTCACCATTTATTTACAAAAATATTGCCGTCTTGTTGCCTTTGCAGTTGCAAAAATAGCAGTAAGAAGGGTTTTCGACTCTTAAGAGTACCACGAGAAAAAAGAAAGGAGTTTTGGCGTAATGTTATCAATAGAACGACATAGTTTTAAATTTCCCGCTTGACTTTCGAGCCAAAATGGCGGCAAACTGCGGTACTTTGTAAATCTAGGGACTTTACAGTGGAAGAGTTGCTAGCGATTTGAAGAAAAAGCACTTCGATTGATGCGGAAGCAGTTTGGATAAATGCAATAAAATTAAAAGGAAACGATGTGGTAAAAATAATAATAAAAAAATTAAAGAATAAAGTCTTTGTTATTCATTTAAAGACTTTTTAATAAACTCTGTACCAAATAATACATACCTAGTCATGTTTTTTTGTAAAACATTGTAAACGACAAAATTTAATGTGTTTAAAGTTTTGCACAGTTTGTAAAGTTTTGTCGCCAAGCAATGTTTTCGTAAAAAATCATCGATAAACCTTTAAAATAACAAATTTAATTTATATTTCCCGCCTGCCAATGATTTCAGCGCTGTAGGTGACAGTATCCAAAACTAATTGCGCATTTCAATCAAACGTTTATAGTTGCCCATCTAGGTATATAACAAATATATTATATCTTATCTAGGGGTCAAATTGAAAAACTATTCCCGAAACAAGATTGCTGCAAATGGTAACCCGGTGCAAGATCGACAGAGATAGAGGTTTTTAGTAAAGATGAGCTGCTGGCAGCTGTATCTAGAATGAAGAAGAAGATGCTGCGTTTGTATCTAAATATCTGGACGACTTTCTAGAAATCTACATTTGATGTATGTCCAGCGGAACATACTCAAAAATCTGGAAAAACTCTACGCTAGTGCTTATAGAGAAACCCAAGAAAGCCGGACGAACCACGGCTTATAGACCAATCTGTGTCCTGGATACTACGGGAAAGCTGTTAGAAAGTCTACTAAAAGAATGATTACAAAAAGAAGCAATCGAAAGAGCAAATCAACGGTTCAAGCAGTGCAAAAAGTCCAAACAATAGTGTACCAAATCAAAGAAAAGTCTCTAGATTTATGCGTGTTAATACTTACAGACATCGAGAATGCCTTCAACTCGGCTTCGTGGCAGAAGATGTTGTTGAAGGAAAAAGTGAGTCCGTATTTAGTCCATATGGCAAAATGACGGTAAAACATACAGAGTCTGTTGCGGAGTGCCTCAGGGATCTCTCCTATTCCCACTGTTATGAAACCTGTACTATGACAGAGTTCTAAGAATAGAACAAGATCCAGGTGACGAACTAATAACGTACGCCGGCGATCTCGCTCTCGTAGTGAAGAGAAGGGACGCCATACAACTCGAGGACAGGCCCTATTAGATTTATTAGTACAAGCCAGAAATGAACTACACGCAAGCGGAAGAGAAAGTAAGGCAGAAAGTAGAGACCGGATGATTGAGGCCTGGCAGACAAAGTGGTCAAAGAGCGACAGCTGGACAAAGACCCTGATTCCACAGATAGAACCTTGGATAACGAGAGAGTGGGGAGAGATAAATTACTACCTCACGCAAGCCTTCACAAGACATGGGGTTTTCAAAAAATACCTACAAAAGATAAAAAAGACCGAGACAGAAGAATGCTGGTTTTGCGAAGAGACAGATACCGCGGAACACACTCTGTTCTCGTGCCGAAGATTTACAGCAGAACAACTCAAATGTAAATCTAGATGCGGGACAACTTTCAGCAAAGAAACTATGATCGCCCTGATGTTGGACAAAGAAGAAGAGAAGTGGACGATAGTCGTAGAAGGAGATGCACGAGCGAGATCTGCTGGAATAGACGACGGTGCGGGAGGAGGAAAAGCAGGGAGGATACCAATTCTAGAGAGAAGAGAGGAAGATGTAGATATAATATAAATATGTTATATTATATTATTCTCCGATGTAATACCTTCTTGCTGGTTTCAGAGAAGGAAGAGGGAGGTTTTTAGTGAGTAGTTCAGGGGCTAGAACACTCCCGGCCGAAGAATAGAAGATTCCATCACATGAAGACCGATAGGCGCTCACATAGTAGTAAAAAAAAGAGAGTATACTGACAGACACTTCGGATTAAGCAAGCTTACAGCCTGGGTACTTGCTATTGACATGGGTGCTAAAATCCTTCTTGAGAGAGGAATGAGGAATATGACAGTACGATTTTTCTCAGACAATCAAGCCGCTCTTCAGGCGCTACAGGGCGTGAAAACGATGTCGGCTCTGGTTAATGACTGCAAAAGAACTTTAAACACACTGAGTTGTGATAACAGAGTCTCTATTTTTGTTTTTAACGTTTTATTACAGTCCACAAAAGTAATGTTTTTCCAAAACGCATCTCTAAAATTGTTAATCTGTCTACTAGTTATGCTATCTAAGACGTAGCTTTCAGTGTCATTTTTATCATTTTCAGTTACTTCGTTTACTCTTTACTGTTACATTTTTTAACACAATGATTAGGTTTTTTACAATTTTTACAGACTTTACCATAGGCAGGACATTTTTGCGTTCATGATCAAATCCACAACGACTACCTGATCTATTTAGATTTTTCTAGCATTAGACAGGTTAATTAGAATAAAACGGAACTCTCATGGCACACTTAAATGAAAAATTAAACATTAAATTCTAAAAAATATTGATGTTTGAAATGTCACTTATGTGGTACCATTGGATACAGAAAATTATTCAGATTTCAAAAATGTAATAATATACAGGGTGTTCCATATAAAAATCTAAAGTTAGTGTCACTTCCGGCGAAATCGGAATTGAAAAAAAAATTAATTGTATGGAAAAAAGTGTCTCTTATCATGTGTATAGAATGGCCCAAATTTGAATCAATTATCTTCAAAACTAAAGGACATACGGGGGGTGTACCATGATCCTGTTACACCCGGTATAGTATTGGTTATATCATATAACATATTATTCTGTATTCAACAGACCTAGGCACAGAATAACCAGAAGTGACACTAGCGGTATAGCAACATACCTTGGTATAATATGGCATCAGATGTGGTAGTATCCCGCCACTTCTGGTTATTCTGTGCCAATACTGTGGTATTGGTTACATACTTGCAATGATGACGTCGGGTACGATAATTAATTAACACACTGTATATATTTATTTTTAATAAATTAATTTAATTTCTTAGAATTGGTTAACTTCTAGAACAGCTTATATAAGAACAACATCTGTGATGTCAATGATTGGTTATGTTTTGGGTTTGGGTGATCGCCACGGAGAAAACGTCCTGTTAGATTCATCTTGTGGAGACGTCGTCCACGTTGATTTTAATTGTCTTTTTAATAAAGGCGAAACTTTAGAATGGCCGGAAAGAGTTCCTTTTCGATTAACACACAACATGGTATCCGCGATGGGTCCTTTAGGAATCGAAGGAATTTTTAGGAAATCTTGCGAGTGCACTTTAAAGGTGTTACGCGAAAATAAGGAGACTTTAATGTCGATTGTAACTCCGTTTGTTTATGATCCGTCGGTTTCTTGGTCTTCGAGGAACGTTCCTTTGGCTGGAACTTCAGAACAAACTAATAAAGAGGTAAATAAAGTTATATATTGATTTATTTGATGATCAATACATTTTATTTTATTTTAAAGGCTGTGCGTAGTGTAAAAAATATAGAATTAAGATTAGAAGGAATCGTTCGTGGGAGAGGAAACACAATGTCGATTCCTTTATCAGTTGAAGGCCAATCGAATACTATTATTCAAGAAGCGATGAATGTGGACAACCTTTGTCAAATGTATATAGGATGGGGAGCTTATCTTTAAGGATTAATGTATTGTAAACATTTTTTTTTTGATGTTTTTGAATTAACATTTTTCATGGATTTTTATAATATAAACTGTTTAACAAAAATAACTTTTAATTACTATACTCAACTTCATCCGCCTCCACTCGTTCTTCTTTGTTGCTATCTTTTTCCAGTTTCTCACTTGCTTTAACAGTTTGGCGTCTGCATCTATTGCCTCCTTCCGGTTTTTCTTTGGCTTTGCCACTAAACTTTTCTTTGCATTCTATTTACTTTTCATAACCCATCATTATTACATACTCTAGTATATTTATTTGCAGCAATGCAAAAGAGGCTCCCTTAGCATGACCATGACCTTTTTATTACTGAATCTTGTTTTCGATCACTAGTAAGATTTATTACCAGATAGCAAAAGATATCCACACGTTTGATCTTATTTTAGTTACCTATCATCTCGGCATCTCTTGACTATATTAAGATTTTGGTTTTGTCCCGAATAATTTAATCCCATAATAAATTTAAGAACATCTCTGTCTCGAATGATCGTACTCCTTTCCAGGTTGATCTTTATAGGAGGGCGAGGACTGAATCAAAAACAAGAACTGAGTTTGGCGAAAAGGATTTGGTACTAGAGTACATCCGTGGCATTCCCTCAATTGTCAAGGCTTCGGAAAACTGATTTTGCCCAACAAAATGTATCAATCGGTTAATGTATATTATTAAAATGTTAATGGTCTTCGTACAAAAACGCGCGAAATTATATTAATTGTTCTAATTGTTCCTATGATTTGATTGCTCTATTGGAAACTAATTTAAATTCGGATCGTGGATCTAATAAATTATTCGTGGATAAATACAGCGTCGTACGAGTTGATCGTAAGTTTGAGTTGGTTCGACAAAACAGAGGTGGAGGAGTTCTGCTTATTGTAGGTAGTCATCATGATATAGAAGTGGTTGATTTTACAGATATTGAGTCTTTAGTAGGTACTACTTGTGGATGTATTGATATGCAAGTGCTCTTTATGATCAGTGACTTTATATATCGTAGTGTTGTACATACCTCCTGATAATTCGCAACCTGATTTGCTATGTTTCTTGAACGCCTTAGACCATAAAGTTTTGTATTATCCTGTCCTTATCCTTGGTGATTTTAATTTTCCTGAATATATTAAGGGACTGACATACCAATGAAATGTGGAAAAACGGAGTTACTTGGTAATTTTTGTGACTTTCTGGACCTCCGTCAACTCAATCAAGTATTAAACTTTGACAATCGTCTACTGGATTTAGTTCTGACAAATACTGATCATCTGTTTGATCTTGTTCATGATGATTGTCCCCTCGTCTACGAGGATCAGTCTCTCGCCTTAGATATTACAATGAATTTATTGACGGCAAATGATGGTTTCCTGAACTTTTAGTCTTTCGGTGTTCGCTATAATTTTCGAAGAGCCAACTTTCCTGTCTTGTATGATGAACTTATTTGTTGATTGAATTTACTTTATACGGATTGGTCTAAATGTTCAGGTTAATGCGAATGATGCATTCTATACAAACTTGTATGAGATTTTGGATTTATTTGTTCCTAAGAGATTGTGTCGTAGATGCTCATGCCCTATTTGGTACACCCCAGAAATTAAGCGGCTATTAAAGCTGAACGACTATTGTAGGAAGAAACGCAGAAAAAACAATAGTGTTTTGTATTCAGCGCAATATAAAAGACTGAGGTGTTTGACTAAATAGAAAATCTTATGCGTATTCTTCCTTTACTATTAGTGCTGAATAATCACTTAGTTCTGATCCCTATAACTTTTGGAGTTCTACAGTATGTCCCCGGATAGAGTTACAAAGAGAAAAACAAAATTATTACTGATTTTTCAAACCACTAAATCGCACGATTTGTATACTCTACAACTAATGTTAGTAAAAAATATACGGACAAATCAAATTAAAATATGGCTAAATAATTGAATAAAATAGTATTTTAAATGTAAATTTATGGAATAACACACTACGTAAGTAAAAAATTTTATTAATTTGTAAGTGAACAAATCAACTATTCATTCAAATAAATCACCTCCTAATTCGGCACACATTTGAAGACGAGTTCTAAATTCTTTATAAGAATTACGAATTTTCGCCAGTGGTAGAGATTCTATCGCATTAATTATTCTTAGTTTTAATAGTTCTGCATCTTCTTGTAATGGTTCACTGTAAACAATTTGTTTCAATCGGCCCCAGAAATAAAAATCCATAATTGTAAAATCAGGCCTACGTGCTGGCCATAAAATAGGACCATTTTTGACGAAATTGTAAATTTAACCATTCGGTCACAATGTGTGAATGGTGAGCTGGGCAACCGTCTTGATGAAAATACATTGACCGTATAAAATTTAAGTGTAATTCATCAAGTTGTTCATTAAAATAATTTTGTAACATATCCAAATATTTCTGTAGATTTACATTTCCATCGAAGAAATATGGCCACCACACATTTACTTTTTTGAAATGTTGACTACGTCTAGAGAGTGTAAAATTTGGATTTACATCACTCCAATAACGACAATGCTGGGAAGAAGCAATGCCATTTGTTGAAAAGGTCCTTTCATCCGAAAATACAATCAATTTATGAAAATTTCGGTTATTTAATATTTCATTACCAATCTCAAGACAGAAATCCAAACGTTTGGCATCATCCCTGGCATGCAAANAAACAAAATAACAAAATACGACGACATGCCAGTATAAAGCGATACATTAGTAACTCAGAATATAATAAAAAAAAAAATCATGATGACTCAAGCAGGAGGGAGGATTTTAATTTACTCTTGAACGAAATACAGTTCAATCCTATAAGGTTCATAGGTAGATCATTGTACGTTTTAGCTATCTGGTAGGAAAAGGATCGGTGCGAGGCGCGGCGTGGTACCGTCAATACATCTTTCCTCCTTATATTAATGTTATGGACATCGCTTCTGAAAGATAGGCGTTGCAGCAAGTAAGGAGGCCGCTGACTTTTAATAATTTTATAATAAACGCAAGTTGCATGCAGTTTACGTCTGTTTTTCATGTTCAACCATGTTTCGTAATTTTTGTGACTTTCTGGACCTCCGTCAACTCAATCAAGTATTAAATTTTGACAATCGTCTATTGGATTTGGTTTTGACAAATACTGATCATCGCATCGGTTTGATCTTGTTCATGATGATTGTCCCCTCTTGTCTACGAGGAACAGTACCATCCCGCCTTAGATATTACAATAAATTTATTGACGGCAAATGATGGTTTTGCTGAACTTTCAGTCTTTGGGTGTTCGCTATAAGTTTCGAAGAGCCAACTTTCCTGGCTTGTATGATGAATTTATTTGTTGATTGAACTTACTTTACACGGATTGGTCTAAATGTGCAGGTTAATGCGGATGATGCATTCTATACAAACTTGTATGAGATTTTGGATTTATTTGTTCCTAAGAGATTGTGTCGTAGATGCTCATACCCTATTTGGTACACCCCAGAAATTAAGCGGCTATTAAAGCTGAACGACTATTGTAGGAAGAACCGCAGGAAAAACAATAGTGTTTTGTATTCAGCGCAATATAAAAGACTGAGGTGTTTGACTAAATAGAAAATCTATTCTCTAATACTATTAGTGCTGAATAATCACTTAATTCCGATCTCCGTAACTTTTGGAGTTATACAGTATGTACCCGGATAAAGTTACAAGAGAAAAAAAATATTATTACTGTTTTTTCAAACTTATCTTAGCATAAATAATGCGTCGGATATGTTCAAACCACTTAAATCGCACAAATTGTATACTCTAACTATAGAAATCAACTAATTATTCCCATTTTTATGTAAAAATTGGACGTTTTTTTCTAAATCAAAAATTGTTCAAGTTCAATTTATGATATGTAACCATAGAAACCATAAAAGTTACAACTTATGTTAGTGAAAAATATACGGACAAATCAAATTAAAATATGGCTAAATAATTGAATAAAATAGTATTTCAAATATAAATTTATGGAATAACACACTATGTAAGTAAAAAATATTATTTATTTGTAAGTGAACAAATCAACTATTTATTCAAACAAATCACCTCCTAATTCCCCACACATTTGAAGACGAGTTCTAAATTCTTTATAAGAATTACGAATTTCCGCCAGTGGTAGAGATTCTATCGCATTAATTATTCTTAATTTTAATAGTTCTGCATCGTCTTATAATGGTTCACTGTAAACAATTTCTTTCAATCATCCCCAAAAATAAAAATCCATAGTTGTAAGATCAGGACTACGTGCTGGCCATAAAATAGGACCATTTCGTCCAATCCATTTTTGACGAAATTATAAATTTAACCATTCGGTCAGAATGTGTGAATGGTGAGCTGGGTAACTGTCTTGCTGAAAGTACATTGACCGTATAAAATTTAATATTTATTAAATTTAATATTTCATTACCAATCTCAAGACAGAAATCCAAACGTTTGGCATCATCCCCGGCATCCAAAGTCTGTCTAAATCGTGGTCTAAGTGGTTTAATTTTATTTTCTTTGTAAATTCTGGAGAGGTGCGATTTACTAATTTCAATTTGTAACGCGCTGCTTCGAAGTGATAATTTTGGAGTTTCTTGAACGGAATGCTATTACAGAAGCAGCGACATTTAATCTCTTTTTCTGGTTCTTTATGGTTTCTATGGTTACATTTCATAAATTGAACTTGAACAATTTTCAATTTAAGAAAAATCCAATTTTTACATAAAAATGGGAATAATTAGTTAACTTCTATAGTTAGAGTATAAAATTTGTGCGATTTAGGTCCATTACTACCATCTTTTAGTTAAATTTATCTTATAGATAAACCCATCTACTAGCCAATCAGAGCGCGTAAAATAGCCGTAACCGTAGTAATAATCCCTTAGATAGCTTAGCCAGAAGATGGTAGTAACGAGCCTTAGTGGTTTTAACATATCCGACGCATTATTTATGCCGAGATAAGTTTGAAAGATCAGTAATAAACTTTTTTTTCCTCTTTGTAACTCGATGCAGGGATATACTGTATATGACAGAAAACAACGACCTCTCGACTTCCTGGCAAAATGATGTGTAATGAGTC